GTTTTTGTAAGATTTAGAGCTAAATGTGGAAAAATGTTGCTGTTAATTTCGGCATGTTTCAGTTTACAAACGGCGCCCCATAATTTCAGTGTACAGTTTAAGGTAAATTGTCTTCCACACGGCACATTACAATGTCACGAAACTAATATTAAATTCATCGAGTCTGCTGTTTTCCAGCTTTTACTCTTTATCGACTGCAGATCAGTGACAAGTAGCGTACAGAAAGGAGCTGGTCAAGTGGCTCCTCCTACTTTGCGCGCTCCTGTGAATGGGGAAACAATTTTTGACGGGGGTAACTACTTTGGCACAACACCTGATTGTAAGATGAAAGTAGACACAATTTCGGGCTCCCACATTTTGTCCGAAACTTTACATTAACAAGTTTTTTTTTTACTGCAACCGTGGAAATAATGAATAGAACAAAAGTCATTCATTCTTACCTTATACTAACCGTGGTGCAGGCCAGTGCGGTAGTGCATGAACTGATGCCTTCTCCGGTCAATTCCGATGAGAGTACATCTAATGTCCCTCTCTACTGTACAAGACAATGGTTACCTGGAGGGATGTACCACTGTGAGAGGCGGTGCTGCGGAATAGTCCAAGTAGTAGCAGCTTTAATTTCCCGCTCAACCATAAATCGATGGTTTTTCAACGTGATTGTTGTCACCTTGTCAACTATAAATAGATCAACAATCAACGATGACAGAACAACAGTGAATCAATGTTATTTCAATGTCAGTGTCAGGTTTCATCAGTATTTCAATGTTGTTTCAACATTGGTTTTGTGTTGACATTTCAATCCTGACGATTCTGATGGTTCAGATGGAAAATCAACATCTGTTCAATGTCTCCTTGCTATCTGGGTATACTCGGCACAGATGTTTCTGTACACTATGCCGGCCACTTGGTTATGGCGTTCCATGTATGCCTTGCCTGCTAGCATCTTACACCCTGCCGTTATGTGCTGGATTGTCTTTACACAGCCTGGACCTGGGGTCTTGCCTGGTGTAAGATATATATATATATATATATACAAGGGCATAGATTTGGCATGGACGGAAGGGACATGTCCCCACCAATATCCAGCGATTATTGAATTGTCCCCACCAGTAAAGAAAAACAAACCCGATAATAAGAAAAAAACGATCTGTCAACGTCTCATTCACCCAGCATTGCAGAAAGAGTTAAATTACGTTCTCTACTGGAGTCCTACCTCATGTGACAAATATGGCCAATGTGAGGCTGTGCCTTTCAGGGAGCTCTGTTTAGTTTTAGCAGCGGCAAGCCTGCGCTGCAAGGACCTGCAAGGAGGAGAGGAGGATGGCAGCAAAAAGAAAGAACCTGGATATAAGAAAGTATTTTTCAAAGAAACCTGTAAGTCACTTAAAGCCAAGTTCACTCATAAAACGTGTCCGTCATAATAGCGTTACAGGCTATGCTAGGCTTTGGCCCACATCAGTCTAAAACTGTATGTAACCATGAATAACGTGTTTTGGAAACTAACTGCACAACAAGCAGCACTGTTAGTTCTCTCAGTCTCAGAGCAGCATTTCTAATTTTGATTGAAACTGTCAGAAAACGGCAGCTTCGAGCAGCCAGGATATTAGTTTACAGAGGCTGTTAGAATTATATGTCTAATGTTAAATGTTGGTGACACAGAAATTTCATCCTAATGGCACTGACATATTCATAG